ACCTCATGCATACAGAACCTTGTACAAAGTCTAGATGTGGTCAGATACATGCTCCACAATCTAGAAGGCTCCAGATTCCATCTCAGGAGTATTTAATAAATTTTTATCTTATCGCACTATGGTTTCAATTTAATGTTGTTGGATAAGCTTTTGAAATTATTTCATATTTTTGAATACAATGTTAATATATTGTTTTAAATATTAAAATATCAAAAATATCATATATAAAACACATCAATGTAGTAAAAAATATCAAATTATGACACATTTAAATATTTTTCAGAATATTAAATTAATTTAAAAGTTTATCCAAAAATATTAAATAATTTGTAAAGCTTATCCAACAATATTAAATCAAGGCTTTCTTATTTGCAACACTCAACTCACCAACACTAGCACATGTAAGCTCGTACACATTGGGTAGTGGGTGTGATGTTGGGAGACATTTTTCTTGCCTGGGAAATTTAATAAATAAATAAATAAAATGCCGTATGCAGGAAAAAATACTGGCACCTGAATTTAACATTCAAAGGGTACTTGCTGAAAACACTGTGCTAAATATAAGGTAGATATGCTGCTGGTACATAAACCAAGAGTTTGTGGCACTTCCTTTATTATCCTATATATTCACACAACCCAGTGTTAAAAGATTGTATGGCTAAAATTGCTGGTGAATTTACTTGCTTTAACTGTGCCCTGTATAATGTAAAAGACAAAAAACAAGGCTAAGGCTGGGAGGTTTTTAACTCAACATAAGCCACAGTCTATGGATGATTATACTTTGTGTAGCGTGGATCTGGCTGGCTCGGCATAAGGCCTTCATCTTAAGTAGCAGCAGTAGAAAAAACAGCTACTGGAGGTGTGAATTAACTAAGGGACCTTGCCACCCTACGTCAACTCTGTTCATTTCAGGATTACTAGTTGATCCAGCACATAGAATTGTGTCACACAGATGACTAATAGGTAACGTATTACTGGGCCTTAGAATGGCCGGACTTACCGTACCAAAGAATAGTCAGGATACTTGCCGAGGTCAAGGGATACAGAAAGAGACACAACGATAAGAGAAAGCCAGAAGTCAGGGATACCAGAATACAGGGAAGTCAAAATCAAAGCCAAAGTAAAAAAACAGAAGAAACTTGAATCAGGAACGCTCTCTCGGACAACCACAATGGAAACCACGACAGGGCACTGAGCAGGATGAGAACTGGGCCTAAATACCCCTCCTCTAGATCTGATAGGCTGTAACCGGCCTTTGACCCCAAAGGCAGTTACCAGGTTCCCATTTGCAGAATTGCTGCTCAGCATTAACCCTTCTGTGGATTTGGTTGCTGCTCGGCACAACTTTTCCTGTGTGGACGTAAATGCCATTAACCACATTTTTATAAGCGAATGAATACGTGACACTTGAAGACAGTTTGCAACCCCCAACAAGGGCCTTTTATTAAAATCCATCTTTTACTTCACGGTGATTCATGTATCTAGTGCTCTATGAGTGGAGGTTATACCGCTTTGGTGTCCCTAACCTGTGATCATAATTATGCTGATGGAGCATATCCTCATGCAATAGCGCCCTGCCACAATATACCCTGCCACCTACAGCCTCCTTCATGTCCTCCTGGGAAAAGGAGAAAGTTGAAACCCCTCAAAGAAAGAATAGGATAACTCCTTTAGTAATTTACTGGGTTTAATCCAATGTATAAACCATATTAAACTATTACAGAAAATCATACTTAGGTGGTATCTGGTACCCATTTAAGCCACGTATGCACCTCAAAATCTAATAGTTTTTAATGCCGTTCTAGAGCCAGAGACTCCTTCACCCACATATGGTGATCGTGTCTTGTATTAAAGCCTGTAAAGACTGAAACTTGATAATCACGTGGGTGATCCCTCAGCAACCAGAGGTTTTTTTTCAAATATTTCCAGAGGACACTGTAACTGTAGCTGGTTCCCTTATTTACCACTATAACGTCTTGAAGCATAGAACTTAGCAGGCATAACCATACAGATATTTTTAGCCATAATGTTATATAGTTAGCATGAGATCCTCTATTTAAAATATATAAATAATTAAGAATACAATATAAAATAAGGGTTGTCTTGGAAGCAAGAAAGTTTTGTCTTTCAGATATTTTATTAAATAAAAAAATAAATAGACATATAAAATTCATTACAATAATTTATAGCAGAATTTATAAGATTAAACTATATGATTGCATTAGCATTATTAGAATAACATACCCTCCTGAACATATCATTATGTCAGCCTCTCTGTCATTATAAGATGGAGCAGTGTCTGTCTCCAAATCTCTCCTCTCTGTGTTCTCTAATATTTAAAAGTACACCTATTTATACCTTAGGTGTCTTCATTTTAGTGTTACTTTTTCATATATGAATTACATTAACACTTTTGTTTTTGTTCATTCTAGGGACCTCCCTTAACTTGGCAAAAATAAAAGGCCATAACTAAAACGTAAGGGTGCACACGTCATGGGAAATTCCCTAACTTAGGACACGATGGCATCTTAAAGTCTGTTTATCTTAATCTATTTAGGGTTACCGCAGTATATTATGTACTGAAAGAGTCGTGGCATAGCCCTGAAGCTTGTTTATGCATTATTTTTTTTTTGTAAATATCTTTTTATTGAATTTTTTCAAGGTTTCAAAGGAAAGGGTGAATTGCAGAGAAACGCGCAGGTTTCAGGTTAACATCATAACGATTGGTCAATCGAGATGCGCAGATCTCCTGTATAACAATTGAGAATGAGACACGCAGGTCTCGAGGCAAACTAGGTGTCTAACATATGGTATGGAAGTACTTTGCATCGATTCATATTAACAAGTGAGTGGCCCTCCTGACATGGCCTGTCTGTGTGCGGCTGATGTGTATTCCCCTATCTATGCTACTCTCGTAAGTGGTTGTTCAGGTGGTACGGTCTACCGAGTGTGGGCGTGCTGATCCGCCCTGTACTGGTATTCCTGCTGATGTTGTTGAGGTAAGACCGTTTCAGAGTAGTTGTAAGGGGTACTGGTGTCACTTTTGTCTCATAGGTCTTAGGTGTCGTTTGGTACTGATTTGGGCTGTGGTGCAGATGGTCATTGTGTGCTAATCATGTGCATGTATCGAAGTATCTAGGATCATGTCGTTAGTGTCCCCCTGTGACTATTCGGTTGCACGTTCGGATGGTATCTCTCTCTATCCTCCAGTGTATGCGGTGGGGTGGGAGGAATGGTTTGTTCTTCGTGTGGTCCCTTGACTGTCCGGCGTTGGTCTTGGGTCTGTGGCATGTGTGTCCTGTGTAGTCTCGGGGCTCCTTTGTCTCTGATTGTGTGGGTGTTTTCGGGGACCTCGGGGTTGTGTCACCCAATTTCCCTGCTTTTTGGTCCCATTCATTCCTCTGGCGTGTGTATATTGCTGTACCCAGTGGGTCCAATGTGGCCCTGGTATGGCCATGTTCCCTGTGGTTACGCGTCAGGAGATTTTGTATGTCCGGGCCCAGGTGTAGTTGTGCAATGTGTGGTGTTTAAACTACATTTCCTGGGTCGCTCTGGTTGGTGAGGTGCCTGCCCGCCCTCCAGTCGGGTAGGTGATGGCCTTGTGAGCCCGTGTCGGCGTCTGTGTCTCCTCCTTGTTTGTGCATCCATGGCGTGCTCTGTGGTTTATTGTGTTCTGGTACGTATTTTATTATTGCTTATCTCAGGGAGGAGAAGTACGCAGCGGGCATCGTCATTGGTAGTGTTTGAAATAGATAGAGCAATCGAGGCAGGATATTCATTTTCACTACGGCAATGCACCCTAGCCACGATATGTGTAAGGAGTTCCAATCGTGTATCTTGGAGAGGAGTGGTGTGTAGTTCGACGGGTAGAGGTCGTGCGGGTTCCTGGTGAGCCAGAGTCCGAGGTACTTCATCTTGGACTCGCACCAGTGGAATTGGAATTGTGTGCGTAGGAGGTCACTTTCTTCGCTTGGTATCGTTATGTTGAGGACCTCGCATTTAATTTGAGTCCAGAGACTATATATATCGCGGCTATCCAGGTGAGCAAGTTGATACCGAATCCCATCTCCTTGAGCAGCTCCGACAGGTGGGTCCAGTCCACCCTGTCGAAGGCATTTTCCACATCGGTGGAGAGTAATAGTAGTCAGTCTCCAGAATGTTTGGCAAGGTGCTGGATGGAGAGGGCCCGGAGCGTACTGCTGCGGGCCTCCCTGTCTGGGACGAAGCCTGTTTGATCTGGGTGGACCAGTCTAGGGAGGAATGTGTTTAGGCGGCTCGACAGGACCTTGTTGAATAATTTTATGTCGATGTTTAATAGGGAGATAGGCCTGTAGCTGCTGCACAGTTCTGGGTCTTTTCCCGGCTTGGGGAGGATGGTTATGGTTGCCGCTAGTGTGTCATTGTGGATCTTGTTCCCCGTTGTGAGTGCATTCATCGCCTCGGTTAACATTGGGATGAGCATGTTCCCGAATTTCTTATAATATTCGAGTGTGAATCCATCCGGTCCCAGGGCCCTGCCCTTCTTTGCTGTTTTGATCGCTGCCCTGATCTCTTCCTGTACGATGGGGGCATCCATGATTTTGGCCTCGTCTCGAGTTACAGTTTTGGTGAGGTGTTGTGCTAGATATTGTTGAATGGCTGTCTTCTTGGTGTGTGGTGGAGTGCTGGGGGGCTGTAGGTGCACATTGTATGTAGTAGGCGCGGAATTCATGCGCTATAGTTTCGGGGTGTTGGGTCTTCCATCCTCCTGCTAGTTTCAGCTTATGGACTTGTGCGTGTGTTTGCTGTCCCCTGAGCATGCGAGCTAGGAGTTTGCCCCCTTTATTGGCGTGGATATAGTAGAAGGCCTTTGATCTTTGTAGTTGCCGGTAGTGTTTCTTGACCAGTAGTGTCTGTAGCTGGCTCCAGAGTCCCAGTAGTTCTGTGTATGTGTCCTCCGAGAGTGTTCTTTTGTGGTGCGCCTCAATGTCCCCGATTCCGTTGAGGTGTCCCGCCATCTGTCACTGGGTTTCCTTTTTCTTCTTTGTAGCCAGTTGGATGATGTGGCCTCTCAGGACGCATTTATGAGCTGATGTGGCCGAGGTCTCCTCCGTTTCGTTGTTTGAGAAGGAGGCGTCCAAAGCTTCCACGATCTTGTCTCTGATCTCCACGTCCATCAATAGGGTATCGTTCAGTCTCCAGGTCATCACTTTCGGTCTTGTCAGTGGAGAGTCCATTTCCATAGTTACCGCTCCGTGATCGGACCACGTGGTGGCTTCGATGGTTGCCCCTTGCAGCGCGGTGAGCTGTTCTTGCTGGAGGAATATGTGTCTATTCTCGAGTATCTCGCGTGGACTCTCGAGTAGTGCGTGTACTCTTTCATCATGGGATGTAAAGCTCTCCAACAGTCCACCAGCCACAGGCGTCTGAGAGCTTTCAGGATGCTTTGAATTTCTCTCTGTGGGATGCTGCTTCGTCCTATGGAGGTGTCCAGAGGGATGTTGAGATCTCCTCCAAGTATGAGGGTTCCCTCCGTGAAGTCGGTCAAGGCGGTGAGGGTTCTGCGGATGTATTGCGACTGGTTCAGGTTGGGGGCGTATATGCACGCCAGAGTGTAGGTTCTGTTTGCTATTGTACCTTTCAAGAAGATTTGCCATCCCACCGGGTCTAGTACTCTGTTTCCGCAAATCCCGGCTTCGTGGGGAGGAGTATTGCCACTCCCGCCTTCTTTGGTGGTTGCTGAGGTACGTTTGTGAGTATATTCTGTCTCTGAGAGTCGGGGCGGAATCTTCTCGGAAATGGGTTTCCTGCAGGAGGGCTTTTGTCTGAATTCTCTGAGGGAAGTGTGTCCTGCGTTCCGGGATGTTCAACCCTCTGCAGTAGTGGGTGAGTATTCATAGTGGGCAAGAGCAGTATGCCATTTCTGCCGGGTGGGGAGGTTGCAGCGGGCGCGAGCCGCGTGGGCGGTCGGGGGAGAAGCCCTCTGTCCTAGTCGCCATATCGCGGGCGCAACCGGACAGCACTCGGGGGGGCAAGGGAAGTTCCGCGGGTGCCCTGCGTCGTCCTCGGGTCCCGTGCATTATGGTGTCATTCTCGGGTGTTCGGTGAGGGTATGTGTGGGGTGTGTTAAGTCCTGTCAGTCCCAGGGGGGACGCTGGCGCGGTGTGTCGGTGTTCGATCCTGTTTAAGTCGGTAACCTCGTACTGGCTAGGTGGTGTGTGTGACCGCGGATGCCATCCCAAGCTCGGGGGTGTTCCGACCCGGGGCGCACCAGCTCACCGCCATATCAATTGTTCACACAGACGGGGTGGGATGCGTGTCCCTCGTCGATGGGGCAGCAGGTTGTGGTAGGTCGGGGTGGGTTGAGTGTATAGTCACTCAGTGAGAGTGTGTACCTGTAAGTTGTTCGAGCTCTGCCAGAGGGGTCCCACCACCGTATTTAGTGTGTGTGCGTTATCGTCCTCTCCTTGGTGCAAACCCGTGTTATAAACAAATTCCCAAAATTACGGGTGCACTCCACGTTTTTTCAATCACTGTGTTAAATTTTAATGACTCCAAAAAAACATACACAAAGTCCTGATCAACCCTTCAACCCCAAGTGAGTCTTTTTCAAAATCAATTGTACATTGTACAAAGAAACAATATATAGATAAAAACAAGGTGATTTACCAATCTTCGTGGTGACTATCTATAATAGTTTGATTTGCTCAATAGTGATCAATAATTCTTAATTAATATGGAATATTATTATCACATTCCATCCCTTGATCACTCTGTGAGCAAAACCTCACACATTTACACATACCATTCAGGTTATCAAGCAGGGGGAAAGCCCTTTTACCCACTGATTCCCATTTTGCTCCATTCACACCTGGAATTCAAGCAATAAAGCTCTCCGAGTCGAGGGTCGCCTAAGTTAGCCAATTTTAAACAGGATAAACCTGTAGCTTAAGCCTTAGGACATACCTCTTCTCACTTAACAATCCTAATTAAGCTCTTCTAGTTCAATACTAGTATTACATTTTCATTTAGCCATTTTTTGAGTGCAGTAAATTGTAATTTTATAGCACAGATAAATGCAAATTATAATAAAAAATAAAAAACACTACGCAATTCATTTTATTATTTGAAAAGTGTCAGAGGTGCTGATAGTGCAGTAGTATGTTGCATCACTATCCTCTATAATAGTGTATGTTCGCTTATTGCCATGGCCGGACTGGGGATACAAAGCAGCCCTGGAAAAAAAATTTGTGCCAGCCCCATAAGTCACTGCGCCATATATTGTCGCGTGTAATATGTAAGGCTATGTCTTGCCAGGACAGATGATTGAGTAATATATATATATATATATATATATATATAGCTTTTTCTAATATAAAATATTGGTCCTTTCAGGGTAAAACGTTTAATTATACAGTAAGCATACGCACATGCAGACACAGGCAATTTCACTGACATTTCAGTGACACACACAAGCTCATTGATACACACACACACAGCTTAATGTGGTGGTACTGGTGTCTATAGCATGTCCTTACAGGCTTTTCAACGTAAACACTGACTTTTCAGAGAAAAGGCAGTGTTTACATTGCTTCAAAGTGACACTGCTAGTGACAGTCACTCAGACGGTCACTAGAGGTGCTTCCTGTGTTAGTGCCCTCGCGCGCTGCTGAATGAGACTGGCGCCGGAATATGACGTCATATTCCGGCGCCGGTCTCATTCAGCTGCGTGCTGGGGAGCAGAGCCAGCGCAGCTCACGCAGCTCCCTCAGCGGCCGCCAAGACAAGTCCGCCAGCGGCCGCCAAAAGACCTCCCCAGCGGCCAGGGGAGGGCTGGCAGCCTTAGGCCTGGGGGGCAAAACCAGTCAAGTAGACTGGTGTACCTGCCCAGGATCAGAGCCGGTGCAAGGATTTTTGCCGCCCTAGACAAAATAAAAATTTGCTGCCCCCATATGTCACATCACAATGCCCCACCCATATGACCTGCCATATGAACTAACGCCAGTGCTGCACACAGTGTGTGTTTACATTAAAAAGCCTGCAGGGACCAGCTATAGACACCAGAACCACTTCATTAGGCTATAGTGTCCCTTTAATGTGAGGTAAATTATAGATTAGTGTCACTAATAATATACTAGATTGCCTACTTACAAGCAGATGAGGATGATGATGGGCTGCAGTTTGGCTCCACTGGTCTGGTGTAGAACAGGATCTCTGGAGGCTGTTTGCAACTGTGGTCACAAAATTCAATGTTCTGGGAGAATTGGAAGCAGCTCAAATTTTTTGGGGCCCCTTACACAGCTCAAGGTCTGGGCCCCAGGGCCTGACGGTGAGTATGCCCATAAGGCCCACTTATAAGTTCCACCCACCCATGAGTTCGCTCACAGGGAGTGGAGTGTGTAGGGGATGTGTTATGTGTTATTGTAGAGGATCTAATATGTGTGCTTATGGTATGTAGTGTTTAGGGTTACCAGTTTGTGCAGGTGATGCAGTGTGTTTGTGTGTAGTGGAAGCGGTGTGTATTTGTGTATAAGGGATGTATTATGTGTTTCTGGTTGTGTGTAAGGGATGCATTGTGTGAATCTGTGTTTGTATGCATAAGGGATGCAAGGTGTGTGTCTGTATGTGTGTGCATGGGATGCATTGTGTTTCTGTGTGTATGTAAGAAAAGAAGTGTGTGTGTTTGCATGCGTGTGTACGGGTTTGCATTGTCTGTTTCTGTGTATGTGTGCAAAGGATGCTTTGTCTTTGTGTGTAAGGGTTGCATTGTGTGTGTGTGTGTAATGGATGCATTGTGTGTTTCTCTGTGTGTAAGGGAAGCATGTTGTGTTTCTGTGTATGTATAGGGATGCATTGTGTGCGCGCGTAGTGTGAAAGAGCTCCCTGTCTTGGCCCCTGTCCTATAGAGCTGCCCCTTC